GGGTTCATCCGCAAGTCGCTGACGGGTGTGACCGGCGGAAAGATCGCCAAGGCGTTCATGCAGTACATGATCGGCAAGCTGGCGAGGGGTGGTTATGGGTTCAATGCGGTGCCTGCTGCTTGGAGGAACCCGTCCATTACCATGGTAAATGGTATTGCGGCGTAGAGAGTGGTAACGACTCAGTGAGGCAGCCACTGAGGTTGCTGCTGGCACACGGTGTGTAGAGAGGTTGCTGAGATTGGGGAAGGTTAGAACGAGCAGTGCTGCCTATGGAAAGTACCGTATGTGTCTTCTTGAGAGGTTGATGATAGCTTGCCTGTTGGAGGTTGCTGGTTATCTCTTAGAGCAGGAGGAAGGATTCAGAAAGCTGTTATAATGGCAAGGCAATGGGCTGTTATGTGGCACCTAGTCGATGTAATACTCTGTTTCAAGATGGCGTGACAGCCTGTGCCATGCAATGGGATGTGGTGATCCTTTGCATGTATGACAATAGTCTGACTTACCCAAGGTTTGAAAGGAACACGGGGTACAGGGCATGGGGCTTAAGAAAGGAACATGTATTAAAAAGAGTATGGGGATAATGGGGATGGGGGCAATACGCATCTCAATTACATCTTCTGTAACTACATGGGGATGTGATAGAGGAGAGGTATGGGGCATGGGGATGAGCCAGAGATAGTGGGAGAAACATATGGGGCATTAGCAGGGAGTCTGGCCGACACGGAACAAGGCAACACGGGGTACAGGGCATGGGGCTTAAGAAAGGAACATGTATTAAAGAGAATATGAACCAATGGGAAAAATCGGGCTTCCCTGCATTTGAGTCCACTCAGCCTTTGAGTCGACTCGAAAGCACTCGCTTGGGATACGGTGCCTGACTTGAAACTTGCAACCTGTTGGATGTTGAGGCGAAGTTATGTATACCCTTCAAGGAAAGCTGGAGAAGCTGACGTGCGCTTCCATGCAGTACCTCACCTGAGGATTCTCAAGAACGAAACCTATCGGGTTGACCTAAGCGGAGCACAAGACTTGCATTGGTTGCTGCACCTTGCTGGCCGTCTCACATGGTCTACTTAAGGAAAACTGAGCGGAACAGAACGAGCTGGAAGTGCTGGTCAGTGAGCTGCATCAGCGAGCTGCTAATGTATCAGATCAGGGAATGATTAAAAGGAGGTGCATGGGGAGAGGGTCGCCCCATGCACATGCCTTACACAAAGCCTTGCTTTGATTACTGAATAAATGCACTCAATACCATTCCACCCCTCCCATTCCCTACCTAGACTCAATTGCACGCTCGTATCTCTCCTGCCTTGCCCCACTCCCCTTGCTTGGAAAAGAGTATCTCCACAGCACCTACCTTCTTATCTGCAGGGGGAAGACACGGGGCTAGGGGGAAAGACGATGGGGTATTGGGGGAAGCACACCGGGCGTTGGGGAAGGACGATGGGGTATCAGGAGAAACACAAAGGTCGTCGGGGGAGAGACATGCTAGGGCGTTGGGGGAATACACGGGGCTTTGGGGAAGAGAGAGGATGGGGTTTTGGAGAAGAGACACAGGGCGTTGGGGAAGGTTCAGGTGGGTGTTTTGTGGGGAAAATACAGGGGCTTTGGGGGAGAGAGATGATGAGGTTTCGGGAGGAGAGGCACGAAGCGTTGGGGAAGAATCACGGTAGCGTGTTTCGGGGCATTTACAGGCTTCGTGCGAGGATGGAGTTGTGGAAAAGACACGAGGTGTTTGGGGAAAGGCGTGGGTTATTGGGGGACGACAAGGATCGTTGAGGGAAAGACGTGGGGCGTTGGGGAAGAGACACGATAGGGCCGGATGAATGTCCTCATCGTATGGTGCCATGTTAGACGTGGGAGCTTAGCGTCGACACAGAGATATCGCATGACACTTGTGCTGACCGAGTGCCTCTGGTACTTTCACCCTCGTCACATGTTCGATGCTTCGGATTAAGTCACTTGAAGCGAGAATGGAGAATAGTAAAGGCGGGCCCAACTTGAAAGGGGGGTTGCGTGGGATTTTTTCTAAGGGACCAAGCCTTGTAGCGAGGGGGTTCAGGGTCACTGTTCCTTATTACCCCCGGGTAGGAGGGAAAACATCCACGCAGGACAGCGATTGGTGCGCGGGAATAAAAACTGCAGCATCCAACCTGAAACACGGGTAAAGAATCCAAGTAGATAAGCGCGCCGGCGAAAGCATCGCTCGAGGCGAGGAGCGTTCACCTGCCATGGTAGGGCAGCCCGCATGTCTGTGCCTGTTTCAAATGGGTCCAACTCGATTATCGAGTTGGACCTGTTATAATCACAATAGGCTCAGATGTGCCTAAAATGAGAGAAATTGTGCACAGTTAGAATTCCGTCAGACAGCTTCAAATATTGATGCCGATCTGATCTGTGCCTCAAACGGTGATCTAAAAATTGGATCTAGAGCGCCTTGCTGTCGCCTATAAGCAGCAAGTTGAATCATGAAATTCCATGAAGATTTGACGACGCTATGGCGGTTTGACTGGCAGGAGGTATAGCAGCCACTATAGTCTTAGGAGTACAAACTTAGCAAGAAGAATTCGAGAGGGAGATGGTTCCCAGCCTCTACATACCCCAAGAGCCGAGGTCCAGGTTGGTGGTACACCACCACAGAGTCCCCAACCATGAAGAGTCTCGAAACCAACCCTCCAAGGGGCTACACCAAGTGAAATGTAACACTACACGAAGTAGCGTTACTATTTTCACTATTTAATATTTATCCGCGTCCCTTGGGCTTGAAATCTTGAGCTCTTGTCTTGGATCTGCAAGATAAATTCTTCTTGAGTTGATGGGGGCTTGCTGCACACACCTGCGACGCGATGGACACTTCACACTCGACAAAATAGAAAAAACACATGCGACACACAAACGACGACTTGACATGCGAGTTGTAAAAACTCGCTAATGTCTTGACCGACACAAACCACATTGTGATACACCATTCAAACACACACACAAGCACTGGATAGCAATGACATAGACTCACAATTCATTCCATGCCATGCATGCCACCACACCACAAACAAGGACGACAAGCCGAGTGCAAGCCATAGGGTTGCACCAACAAACTCCCCCTCGGATTGTTGGCCTTAGAATCTGCTCCCCTTAGTTCAGAGCCATCCCAGCAAGCTTGCACACTTCCATGCTGCTGCTCAACCAGCCTCTGGTCATCATATCAGCTGGCTGCGCCGTCGTCTTCACGTAGTGCAACTCCACTTCACCGCGGTTACCATGCTCCTCACCCAATGCCACTTCACCTTCATGTGCTTGGTAAGGCCATGAAGAACGGGTTCTTAGCCAATGCAATAGCACCTTGGCTATCACAGTAGATGGGGTAGGTCCTTGCTGCTCCTCCCCCAATTCAGCTAGCAAACGCGCTGCCACACAACCTCTCTTATGGCACGGAAGAGTGCCATGTACTCGGACTCCACCGAGCTCAATGCTTGGTCCACTTGTTCTTGCTCTCCCAAGCTGTTGGCCTCCACCAACACAGCAGATGAAGCCTCCCACACTTGTCATGTCCTCTGGTTCTGATGCCCAAGATGCATCAGAGAAGCGGTGAGAAAGAGCCTCCCGGGTTCGACTCCATCCGCACCCTTTTGACGCCTTTGTGCCGCCGCGGAGTATTGCAGTCCAACAGTTGCTGTTTGGCCAAGGTACTTGGCCACCCTCTCTCCAGCTGCTACCTGCTCTTCATTAGGGCATTGGACAACCCTAGCCAGCTGCCCGGTAGCAAAGGCTGCATCCGGCCTTGTGTGAACGGCCGCATACATGAGGCTGCCCACCAAGGAGTGAAAACGCGCCTCTCCTCTTCACCAACACTTTCCTCCGCTGGTCCTTTCACACACTTGAACCCTGAGGGAAGAGGAGTAGCCACATGACCTTCACTCTTCCCAAAGTTTGCAGCCAAGGCCTCCAAGTACTTCTTTTGATGCACTCGCATCCACCGCTTCTCCACATCTCGCTCAATGTGAAGCCCAAGGTAGTAGTTGACGTCACCAAGGGTCTTGCACTTGAACTTGTCTGAAGCTTCAGCATCACCTCCTTCACAAGGTCAGAGGAGGGTGAGAATATGAGGATGTCATCCACATAAACCACCATGAAGCTCCTCTGCTCCCCCTCGCCAAGCATGAACAAGGATTGATCGGCCGTTGAGGGAGTGAAGCCGATCGCCTCCAAGACTTCCCGCAGCTTGATGTACCATTGCCTAGGGGCTTGCTTGAGGCCATAGAGTGCTTTCTTCAGCTTCCACACTCTGCCACTCCCATCATTGTACCCCTCTGGCTGCTCCATGTAGGTCTCTTCCTCCAAAACGCCGTTGAGGAAGGCCGTTACTATATCCATTTGCTTCACCACCCATCCTTTGATGGCCGCCGCGGCGAAGAGGGTTCGAAGGGTTGTACCCTTCACCACAGGGGCATACACTTCATTGTAGTCCTTCTTCTCTTGCTGCTGATACCCCTTGGCTACAAGTCTGCTCTTGTAGCGCTCGATGTTGCCGTCGGCGTCGGTCTTGCGCTTGAAGAGCCACTTGGAAGAGATCGCCTTCCGCCCCGGAGGTAGGTTCACCAAGTCAAATGTGTCGTTCTCTATGATGCTCCCCATTTCTTCATCTGAGGCCTTCTTCCACTCCTTCCCATTGGGGCCCTCCCAAGCCTCCTTGGGATTTGTAGGCTCCCCCGGCATCTCCACCGGAGAGAAGAAGGCAAAAGCGCACTCCTCGCTTTCATCTTCCGCATCATCGCCTAGCATGAGAGCCGAACCGGTCAAGGTTGAGTTGGCTGGTCCTCCAAGCCGGTCATAGCTCAACCTATTAGGGGGCTGAGTCCTCCTTCTCCCCCTTCCTTCCTCCTCTGCTGCAGGGACTTGAATGCTCTCATGGCGTTGCGGTAAATCTGGTCGGTTCCCACGAGCACTTGTAGCACGAGGCGGAAGTGACGGTGCACGCTCATCATCTTGCTGCACCTCCTCCTCCTCCTCATCCCCATTCATTTGAGGAGATTGCCTCGTGATTGTGCTGCTGCTACTCAGCTCCAAGGGCAGCTCCACATGCTCCAAGCCGGTACTCTTCACCTCTCCAAGCCGCACACCAATCTTCGCTTGATTCTCCGCCTTCCACTCCTTGTACGGTAAGTTCTCCATGAACTTGCAATCTCTGCTCACCAAGAACTTCTTGGTAAATGGGTCCCAAAGAAGCCATCCCTTGCTGTTTTGAGCCATGCCCAGGTGCACGGCCCATGTTGCCTTGGCATCAAGCTTGTTGTGCCGAAGTTTCTTAGGCACAAGTGCCATGCACATGCACCCGAACACCCGAAGCATATCCACCTTCGGCTTCCTTCCAATCCACTCCACATAGGGCACCCATTTGTCTTCTCCCACGTGAGTCAAGGCTCTGTTCTTGGCCACACAAGCATGCCGCACCGCATCCGGCCAAAATAATTGGGTAGACCGGCTTCAATGAGAAGTCCCCGAGCCGTCTCCGTGAGTGTCCGATTCGCACGCTCGGCGATGCCGTTCATTGCAGGAGAGTAGGGCATGGTAAGAGAGTGCCTTATGCCCTGCTTCTTCAGCCAAGTTGAGAAATCCTTGCTCAGGAACTCTCCCCCACGGTCAGTGCGAATTGCCTTCACAAGCCGGTCTTGTTGCCGCTCCACCATCGGCAACCAATCGGTCTTCACCGTTTCAGCTACATCACTCTTCTTGGGCAGCACATACACCCAAGTCATGCGAGTGTAGACGTCCACAATGGTGAGGAAGTACTCAGCTCCAGCAGCTCCAAGCTTCAAGGGGCCACCACATCCATCACCACCTCATCAAGTGGTGCCTTCGCCGTTGTCTCCGAGCTATGGAACGGGTAGCGGGTGAACTTGGCTTGCATGCATGTTGGACAGCCAAGCACCTCATTGGGCTCCCCCTTGACACGTATCCCACTGACCATCTCTTGCTTAACTATCTGCTGCAAAATGGGCAATGCCACATGCCCCATTCGCCGATGCAAGGTCAGCCAATCACACTCTCCCGTAGCGGAAGTCGGGTTGGAGAAAGCGGCACTCGCAATTGTGCCCCACAAGCTCTCTCCTTTCTCCTTCGCCGCTGCTGCTTTGCTGATCTTAGGCTTCTCCTCCTCATTTCCACCACCTTTGGCTGCTGCACTATCTCCTTGGGTTCACACGCCTTGCTGGTCTCTCCAAGGTTGCACTCCTTCGAGTCACTCTTGGTGTCACTTCGTTTTCCGTGATCACCGCCACCAACCGCTTCACTCTTGGTGCTGACGCTTGCTGCCACTTGCCTCTCCTTAGGCATGGGGACCACTGGATTTGCCACATCTCATTGTAGATGTCCCTGTCCTCATGAAGGTCCCAAAGCTTCCGCTCACCAAGCCTCGCGGTATATGTTTTGGAGCCCTTGGAAGATGTGTCCATGCCGGCCTTTTGCAAACGCCGAACAGAGATCAGGTTGGCTGCTAGGTTGGGCACCCAAAGCACGTTCTTGAGGCCCACCATCTTCCCATCAGCACCCTTGAACATGGCCTTGCCCATGCCTTTCACCTCTGCTCGCTGCCCCAAAGCCGATGTAACATGCTTGACCGGCAACGGTTCGAGTTCGGTGAGCAAGTCGCACGAGGTGTCATGCTATAGCTGGCGCCGCTATCGATCACCCAAAAGTCCAGAGAGTGAAGGGTGACCTTTCCCACAGTAGCTGGCTCCTCAAAGCCTTCCACACCTCCTGCTGCAGCTGCCGCTTGCGTGGAGACAAAGAAGAATTGGCCCGGGTATCGATCTTCACTCGAGTCCTTGTCGTAGTCTCCACCTTTCATGCTTGCCGCTTCACTTCCACGACCACCACGGCCTCCACGACCTCTGCCTCTTCCTCCCCTTACTCCTCTGCCCTCTTGGCCTTGAGAAGGGGTCCATTCATCAGGCAATCTGAAGCAATATCTCCACATGTGGCCGGTCTTGTGCCAAAAGTGGCATTCGCCATCAAATCGACCGCGCCCACGCCCGTAGCCATTGTTGTTGTTGTTGCTGCCATATCCTCCATTACTCAGCCTCCACTGAAGTTACTGCTGCCAAATATTCCTCCTTGCCCTCTGCCCCTTCCACGGCCGTGCCCACGGCCCATGCTTGCAACTCCGGCACCATCGGGACCCGCCAATTCGCGACGGCGGAAATCTTCTTGTAAGATTTTCCGCTTCACATCTTCGAGTGAGAGACGGGGCAGATCTCGATTTAGGTTGATGATGAGCAAGGACCATGAGTCTGGAAGTAAGGCCAGTAGCTTGGTCTTCTTTTGAAGGTCACTATAGTTCAGATCAGCTCCTTCGAGCCGTGTCAACAAGTCGAAGAATTTCTGCACTCCTTCCTCCACCGGTTCGTCTTTGTCAATTCGAAGTGCCGCCATTTGCCGCTCCAAAACCACAGCCACCGCCGCTGTTGCAGGAGCGTGTACACCCTTGAGAGTAGCCCATGCCTTTGGTCCCTTTGCTGGTTTACACTGAAAAGGCTTGATGTGACGGCTTTGGCTGCTCCCAAACGCTTGCCCAAGTAGAAGGTAGCCTTGTGCGCTCTTCCGCACCCACGTGCTCTTCTCCGGGTCGTTCTCGGGGCGCTTCTCCGTTCCTTCCATCACCTCCAGCAGATCATAGTGGTCAAAGATGTTCTCCATCTTGAAGGACCACTCAGCAAAGTTGTCACCGTTGAACTTGTCAAGGCCAAACACTCTAGGCTCATCCCTAGAGGGGCCAAGGCTAGGTTGCACCGGAGCAACGGGTGGATCTTGGTGTTGACCTTGTGCTTAGGCGTCTTCTCTGCCTCCAGAACCTCTGCCACCCTCTTCCCCAGGTCTAGGCATGGTCGAGGTGGCTCCAAGGGGCTCTGATACCACTTGTTATAATCACAATAGGCTCAGATGTGCCTAAAATGAGAGAAATTGTGCATAGTTAGAATTCCGTCAGACAGCTTCAAATATTGATGCCGATCTGATATGTGCCTCAAACGGTGATGTGTAAATTGGATCTAGAGCGCCTTGCTGTCGCCTATTAGCAGCAAGTTGAATCATAAGATTTGACGACGCTATGGCAGTTTGACTGGCAGGAGGTATAGCAGCCACTATAGTCTTGGAAGTACAAACCGAGCAAGAAGAATTCGAGATGGAGATGGTTCCCAGCCTCTACATACCCCAAGAGCCGAGGTCCAGGATGGTGGTACACCACCACAGAGTCCCCAACCACGAAGAATCTCGAAACCAACTCTCCAAGGGGCTACACCAAGTGAAATGTAACACTACACGAAGTAGCGTTACTATTTTCACTATTTAATATTTATCCGCGTCCCTTGGGCTTGAAATCTTGAGCTCTTGGTCTTGGATCTGCAAGCTAATTTTTTCTTGTGTTGATGGGGGCTTGCTGCACACACCTGCGACGCGATGGACACTTCACACTCGACAAAATAGAAAAAACACATGCGACACACAAACGACGACTTGACATGCGAGTTGTAAAAACTCGCTAATGTCTTGACCGACACAAACCACATTGTGATACACCATTCAAACACACACACAAGCACTGGATAGCAATGACATTGACTCACAATTCATTCCATGCCATGCATGCACACACACAAACAAGGACGACAAGTCGAGTGCAAGCCATAGGGTTGCACCAACAGGACCTAGGTTCACAACTCGGCAGTCAAAGGGCTGAGGACACGCCACTCCATGCAGAGCACCCTAGCGTAGAATGCGCTTCATCCTCTTGTCATAACTCGTGGCTGCAGCTTGCGCTGGTTGTGTCGCGGCCCGACTCCCCCAGCCAGCCCTAGAGTAAGTAGGCAAACTAGAAATATAGAATAGGTACGAATACGGCGCCACATTTTCCCGGGCGGCAACCAGGCACGAAAGCCGTACCCCTCAAAAAGGGCGATTTGCGCCAAATGCGTAAGGCAGGCGAAACTGAGAGTAGGCGCGCTGCTGATGGCGGGTGTTGCCAAGCACGCCAACGCGAGCAGCCCTAGGTCGAGCTCCCCGGCGTGCTGTCTAGAACGGAGCTCGTTTTCCCTAGCAGGCAAACACTGAGCTTGCGGGCACGAGCCGTCTGACGTTAGACCACGCGGCCATGCGAGCAGCGTAGCGCCGAGCGAGGCCTCGGGTAGCATAGCGCCGTGCGCGGCGGCGACCAGCTTTCCCTGCCGCGCGGCGGCGAGCAGCTAAGCGCCGAGTGCGGCGGCGTGCAGTTTAGCTCCGAGCGCGACGGCGAGCAGCTTCGCGCCGGACGCGGCGGCGAGCAACTCAGCGCCGAGCGCGTCGGCGTGGCTCAGCGTCGAGCGCACATCCGAGTGGCTCAGCGCCGAGCGCGGCTGCGAGCGGCACAGCGCCGAGCCGGCGGCGAGCATCTCAGCGCCGAGAGCGGCGGCGAGCGGCACAGTGCCAAGCGCGGCGGCGAGCGGCTCCGCGCCGAGCGCGGCGGGGAGCAGCTTTGCGCCGAGCGTGGCGGCGAGCAGCGTTGCGGCGAGCGCGGCGGCAAGCGGCGTTTCTCCGAGCGCGGCTGCGAGCGGCTGAGCGACATGTGCGGCGGCGATCGGCTTGGCGATGGGAGAGAAGGGGGGCCTAAGAGATAAGGGGAGAGGCTCAGAAGGGGAGCGAAAGAGAAGGGGGCGGGGAGAGAAGGGGAGGGGGAGAGAAGGGCAGCGGGAGAGAAGGGGAGCGGGAGAGAATGGGAGCGGGAGAGAAGGGGAGCCTAAGAGATAAGGGGAGAGGCAGAGAAGGGGAGCACGAGAAGATGGTAGCGAGAGAGAAGGGGAGAGAGAGAGAGAAGGGCAGCGGTAGAGAAGGGGAGCGGGAGAGAAGGGGAGCGGGAGAGAATGGGAGCAGGAGAGAATGGGAGCGAGAGAGAAGGAAAGAGAGAGAAGAAGGGCAGCGGGAGAGAAGGGTAGAGGAAGATAAGGGAGCCAGAGATGAGTGGAGAGGCGAGAAGGGGAGCAGGAGAGAATGGGAGCGATAGAGAAGGGAAGAGAGAGAGAGAAGGGCAACGGGAGAGAAACGGAGCGGGAGAGAAGGGGAGCTGGAGAGAAGGGGAGCAGGAGAGAATGGGAGCGAGAGAGAAGGGAAGAGAGAGAGAGGAGGGCAGCGGGAGAGAAGGGTAGAGGGAGATAAGGG